TATCAGCTTCTTCTTCTCCATCTGCAGATAGACTTATGGTTGAAGACCATCTCTGCCCACACACAGGCAAGGAAGGGCACACAGGCCTTTATTCCCATGTTGGTAGTATTGGGTTTGCATTGACATAATCTTACAATTTGAATGCACATTCCAGAAATAGGCTGGCATCGCTGGAACAGAACGAGGCTAAAAAAGGTTATCGGAGGAATGGGAAATGTAGTGTGTAGGAGTAGGAATGATAACACTGTTCCTCCACATCTGATTGTGATTTGATACTGGACTGAATCTAGAGCGGTTTTTTCGGTTCCACTGCAGCCAATAGATCCAAAGAAGGAAAAAAAAATGTTAACCAAAGTTGATAGTCCTTCTGTGTGTCCAAAAAAATTATTTGCAGATAGATATTCACAACTCTGGCATCCTGCCTCTGCCCGGAATATTTGTCCAAATATAAAATAGTAAATATGAAAATGTACTTAAATGTAGTCCGGTGTTTATGAATTTTCAGCTGAACTTTGGCAGTAAGCCCTAAATGTGATAAAAAAATGCTGCAATAATATATTTTGCTTTCCTCTTCTTTAAAAAAATCTCTCTCTCTCTTGACTAAGCTGACAGCATAGCATAGATCTTGAGATATGGCTGATGGATTTTTCTAAGCTAAAGTATGTTGTTAGCTCTTATGCTAATGGTTGCAGCAGAATCACAACCTCCTTCCACAAAGTATTTGTGGGCAAAGAGGTTACCACTGAGCATCATCTTGGACTTTGGATCTTCCTTTGGGTTCTTCCAACAGCTAGATTCAGCCAGTGCCCTGTACGAAACATCAAGTCTGAAAGTCCTTCTGTCCCCATTTTACAGATAGACTTTTGAGAAACAGGAGGAATAAAGCCAAAGGCTTCAAAGATACTGAGTGGAGGTTAAGTGCTGAGTTTTCTTTGAAGGTCTAAACCCAAATGACATGCTTGGGATCATGCAAGAGGTTTGTATCACCCATGGGAACAGAACCATTTTTTCAGGGTAGTGTCATAACCACTCCACAATCCTTCCTCTTTCTTCTTCCTAAAGCTCCCACTGACTTCAAAGGTGAAGAATTAGGGCCTGCATCCCACAGCACTGTGAGCTCGGATGTGTGTGCAGAGCTTTACCCACACATATATTCCATCAGGGATACTGACTCAAGTAAAATTACACAGGCAGTGTGGAGGGGAAGAAGTTTCTGCAAGGCTGGGACTTAACATCCTCTTTGTTCTTCTACTCTTTTCCTTTAACCTCAAAAGCTTAACTAAGAAATGCAGGGTGTGCCTAATGACTGAGTTTGGGGCCTATCTATACTGTCCATAGAACAGCTGTAACACAAAGTAAGTAGGAACAGAAAAAAGGAAGAGTTCTATCTGATTCAGTCAAACAAAATATTATTTCTTTTGAACACCTTTGGATTAAATATATTATTGAGTTTCCATGGGAAATATATAGTGTGTGTGTATGTGTATATATATATGCATATGTGTATGTGTGTGTATATATATATATATATATATGAGTTGATTCTCAGGAAACTGCATGGCTTGCAGAGACTGGCCAGAAAGACTCTATTTATCTCGTCGCATATCTGCTACAAAGTGAGCACACCCAAGGTGATGAGTAGCACTGTGTTTTTCTGCTTGTCAACTGCTTCTCTCCTAGATGAACAGCAAAATTAGAAGTTTGGATTTTTCAACAGTCATATCATCCACCCCACTGTACATTTAAATACTAGTAGCAGTATTCAGCTATTATCAGGAGTTCAGTCCCTCACCCATTGGCACAGCAAACGTCTCATCCATTCACTCTCAGTACAAAACAACAAATACCTATCATTAAAATGTTAAAATTAGTTTTTACACTGAATGAAAACAAAAATATTTGATAAAGAATATTTTTATTCTTTAAGGGAGAATAAAAGGGAAGGTGCATCCTTCTGGTGCATTCTTTAGTCCATCCTTCTGAAACAACAGATTTTCTTTTTTCAAAAAAAACCCCAAACCCTTAAATTCTGGCTGCAGTTAACAGCTTCCTAATTGTGTGTGAGTGTTTCTTGACTTCCTGATCCTTGTCTGGTGGTCAGGAATCCAAAAGGTTTCTTAAATCAACAGGAGCAGCTGCCTCCTTGAAGTCAGGCATGGTGTATGTCACCGACTGTGGAAAGGAACTGCGATACAAGGAGGAGCAGAGGTGATTAATGGGGCCAGTGTCGTAGCTCAGTGTGGTTGCACTACTGTGTACAAGCATACTTACTTCAATCATTTATCTTCTGTCCTCTGCCACACACACACAGAAACATATGTGTGTGTTTTATTTTTGCCAGTAACGGAGCAGTCATTAGAAATACAGGAATGCACAAGGTGCAGTGGGACCTGTAGCTGACGATGTGCCTCTAGAGGTGATGCCTTCCTTTGTCTTGTTCCTTGGACGAGTATGAGAAACATTGACAAAACCCAGTCCTTGGTTTTAAATTTCTCTCCCTGCCATTGACAAACTGTTTCCCACAGAAGAGAAAGAAATAAAGGGAGGGGGGAAAAAAGGGAAGTAAATGTCTCCATTTTAGGGACTGTATTTTAGGTTAGATAAAGAGGAGGAACAAACTAGGTTGAATGTGGATGTAGGATTGCAAGTGATGGAGTTGCACAAGCTGAAGAAAGGTGTTTTCCTTCTTGACAAAGACCCTCCTGGTCAGGGTCTGAACACAACTTTTGTCCTTGACCTATCTAGACCTCCAGCATCAGAACTTCCTCCTGGTTAGAGTGGGATGCACAAAGACATTCAGTCCCCCAGTACTGCTGCTCCTGCTTCGTATAAGAGCAGGTTGTCCTCACTGGCAATGCTGTACCTTGCTTTCCCCAAAGCATCTCAGGTGATTCAAGACCAGGTCCCATCAGTTCCCAGCCTTCACTTCCCTTCAACCAAAAGCAGGGAAGAAGAGACTTCTCTTACACGAGTGTTGAGTCTTCAGATGTTCCCAAAAAATTTCTCCTTCCATTTCAGTCTCTGAAGGCTCCCCTGACTCCTGGCTCAGCTACATCAACCCATTAAACACAAGAGTCTCAGTACAGAGGAGATACAAAGGCTTGTGATATCTCTGTGGACCCACTGATTTACAGCTTTGTGCTGCAGATGTTACTGCAAGTGTAAAATGGCTACTCATTCCTCAGACTTTATTCCTACAATAAAAATCTCTCCCTGCTTTTCACCAGGAATCAAAGCCACTGCCATAGCCATCAGCATTTACCCCTCCAACACTGACAGGCTGCTCCTGCGTCCCTTTGAGACAAATGCATGTTCTTGAGGCAGCTTCCTTATGTATTAACGTGAAACTGGTGTCTCCCAATAGGTCTGGCTTAATGAGACTTATTATTTGTTGAGTGCTGGCAAAGGGCTAAACTGAGCCAGGAGGGAGAAATGACTCAGGGTAATGCAATTGAACCCTTAAGGAGGGAGGTGCTGTGAGAAGTACAAAAAATGAAAGGTCCAGCTGGTCCATGTGGAAAATGATTTTTGAATGAAAATTAAAATTATTTTTGAAATGAAAATTTTTCATTTTCCTTTGGAAAATTAATGGTCCAACTGGTCCACATGGCCCAGTAGGCTGGGGCGGGTCACTGTCAGCAGCAGTATTAACTCCAGCCCCATGGGATTCCCTGGCTGAGGAGATGTGGTGCTTATTTCTGTCTCACCCAGCTGGGTACAGCCTTTGGTGGGAATCCAGAGCAATGCATGGTGAGAAATCTCTGCTGCTTGGTCCCCCACACATTAGGAGAGCTGTAGATGAGGCTGCAATGGAAAAGCTTTAAGGAGAG